AAAAAAAAAAAGGTATTTGAAAAAGCACCAGCCCAAATTCTCCAAATGTGGTGAACAGTATCAAACTACAGATCCAAGGCACTCAGGAAACTGCAAGTTGCACAAGTAGGAAAACAGCTATATTTAGGAACTTCATAGCCAAAGTCTGGAAACCAAAGGTAAAGAAACAGTAACAAAAGCAAAGCAAAAGGAGACTAAAGAGATGGCTTGGTGGGCAAGAACACTGGCTGTTCAGGGATCCAGGTTTAATTTCAAGCACATACTTGGCAGTAGTTCACAATCCAACCATCCCCAAGTTCAGCTCCAGAGGATTTCACACCCTCTTTTGGCCTCTGCTGGCACTGCACACATATGGTGTACAGACAAATAGGAGACCAAACACCCACTCATCTAAAATTAATTAACTAATTAATTTTTTCAAAGAACTTTACAGTCAATATTTTTTAAAGCAAAACAAAAACAAACAACGATAAAAAAACAAACAAAAGCTCAAGAAACACTCCTATTGTGGTATGAATGTTTGTATCCCCTCCAAAATTCATGCTGAAACATAATTCACTTTGAGATGGTCTTTGTGGCTGGGTCCTTTGGGAGGTAACTGGGTTTTGAAGGTAGAACTCTTAGTGGGAACAAGATGGGTGCCCTCATAAGAAGCAGGCATGGCTCAAGGTGGCTTTCTTTCTATTCCATGAGGATACAACCAGGAAGCAGGTCCTCAGCAGACAGCAGACAAACAGCAGACAGACAGACAGACAGACAGACAGACAGACAGACAGCAGAGACAGCTGACAGCAGAGACAGCAGTCAGCAGACAATAGACAACATACAGTAGACAGCAGACAGCACACAGCAGAGAGCAGACAGTGGCCAGAGAGTAGATAGCAGACAGTAGACAGCACACAGCACACAGCATAGACAACAGACAGCAGACAGTGACCAGACAGCAGACAGTAAACAGTAGACAGCAGACAGCACACAGCAGAGAGCAGACAGTGGCCAGAGAGTAGATAGCAGACAGTAGACAGCACACAGCACACAGCATAGACAACAGACAGCAGACAGTGACCAGACAGCAGACAGTAAACAGTAGACAGCAGACAGCACACAGCAGACAGCACACAGCAGAGACAGCACTCAGAAGAGACAGCAGACAAACAGCAGACAGGGCTTCTCTCGTAGGTAGTAGCTATGAAAATATGTCATAGGTAGGTGCAAAAATGGCATAAAGGGTAATGAGATAAAAATGGAAATTTACTGAGGTTCTAATATTCTACATGAAGTTGTGTCATACATGTTGGAATAATTTAAGAATTCAGCCATTGTGGCACATACCTTTAATCCCAGGATATCTGGCAGGCAGATGTCTGTGAGTTTGAGACCATCCTGGTCTCCCTTGTGATTTCTAGGTCAGCCAGAGATACATACATATTGAGACTTTGTATCAAGAAAAAAAATTACAGAAAAATTAACATTGCAATTTCTAGAGTTATTGTTAAGCCAAACAAAAACAACTATGACGACAACACACACACACACACACACACACACACACACACACACACACAAAGCCAAAAAGTCAGTAGAATAATTAATGGAGTACTAAAGAATACACCATTAAAAAAAGGCAGGGAAGAAGAAATGGGAATGAAACAAAGATGCAGTAACTATGGGAAGAAATGAGATAGGAGCTTGACATTATGCTAGGGGTTACATTACATGTGAGTGAGACTATTCCATTTAAAGGAGACATTAAAAAGTGAGACCCAAACATTGCCTGGAAGAGATCAGCTGACCTACAACAGCAGAGATAAGTAGAAAGTGAAATGACGGAGAAACATACACTGTAAACAGGAAAAACAAAATGGGGGGCGGTGAATCTCCTTACCCGGCAAGGTACGGAGATTAAAAAGGATATTTTTTTTTTTTTAGTAAGAAAATTGTCACTGATCAGAAAGACAGAAATTCTTAACTTTAGCCATCCAATTACAGGAGTGCAAACGTGCACAAAGCTGTGACTCTCAGAACTGGGGGAGGGAGGCTGACCATCGGAGCTAGAAACGGCAATGCTCTCTCAGTAATTGATGGAACAAGTTGTCAAACCAGGAAGGCAAGGAATCTAACAACACAACTTGAATAACGTTCTGCTAATAAATAGTCCTTCCCTTAGAGGCCAGGCTCAAAGGGAGAGCACCTGCTCAGCATATGCAAGGCCTGGGCTAAATCCCTAGCACCACAAAAGTACACACAATGGAAGACTGGAGATTCTCTTTAGGGGCACAGAGATCACTTGGAAAAGATGACACAATGGACCCATAAGAGTATAAATAAATACAGAAAGCTGAGACCTAATACAGCAGCTCAGTAACCACAATGGAATTAAACTGGAAACATAAAAGAAGGACTTGTGTGATATGTTCATGTATTTTGGAATGAAACATCAGACTTTTGAGTAACCCTACATTGAAG